ATATATTTCTGTTCTGGTAAAGAATGTCCTATATATCGAAACTTTGTAAGTTTTTCACAGTGCAAGTCCTTGGGTGAAGAATACCCATCCAAAGAAATGTCCAATTTAGAAATTTCCTTGTCATTCACACAGGTTAAAGGTAAAATATTTGTGAATGAGCCAGAATTATTACGCTTTGCGTACATTTCTTAGGAAGCTCGAGGCCTTTGCTTGTTTACCGATTCTTGAATCGGAATGTTTAGAACCACTTATGTGTTTTGGGACGCGATATTGTTCTCCCAGCAACCTCTGCGTTGATGGCATGCCGTGGCAATACACACGTCAGAACGTCTCACGTCATTGATGCCCATATTCGATCACAAGGCTGTCTTGATTTTACAGTCGTGCACAAAGTTACACAGGAAAGGAAGGAAAATGTAACTGATAAGATTACAAGAGGCGTCAACTTGTGATAGCCACGCTCAAGTAATGATTCAGTCAGTCGCTCTGAGATGTTCGCGGTGTGCGGAAAGTATCGCGAGTTGTGTAATATAAAACACTGTAATACGGACCGTCGCTTGATAGTTTGATACGTACGCAACGGGAAAGCTAGCAATTGAGTTAATGAAATGGTCAGTTATTTGGTTAGTTACCAAGATGTTCATACAGAGTATCACGGGGACTACCAGCCGATTAATGTAAATAATGTTCGTGTCTTTTGCAGAATGGAGGATAAACACACACACTTTCCTAACACACTTTCGAAGCAGCATTGAAAAGTAAGGTCATATGAAAACACCGGACAAGTTCATCACCTTACCGGTTGTCAACATAATTTTGGCGCCATAGTTAATTTCGTCAGCAATACAGCACTCAGAGCGCAAATAAAACAAAGACACTGAATTTTAGCGCAGGCCTGTATACACTGGTTTGCTGTGTGAACCAATCGCTCTAATCTCGTAAGATCAGTACAGTTATCAAGACTTTAAGACTCTGTATAGGTAATACACAATTGGTCGGTGGTACTTTTTAAAAATAATTATTTGCATTACATTGAATCATACTATATTTTGTAATTGAGCACAGATAAATAGGATTTGAGGTTTTCACGACCCAATAATCCAGACGACAGCAATCTTCAAGCATAGATAAATTAACTTTTTAATTTTTTATGTTGCTTTCTTAGACTTTTCTATAAAAATGTGTTCTAAGCATTACCGAAAACTTTCCCGTCAATCTTGATTGGGAATTTACAAGGTTTTATCATTATTTTCCTATAAGTAAAGATAGTCCATAACAGGTATATCTTATCTTAATGTGTGTTCAGTTAAATTTCGTATGTAGTGCCATGAAACTCTAGACGTATCGTTGAGATAATTAAATTTAATTCAACCTTAATTAGTCTTGCTTAGAGACAAGTGATGCCCCAAGTTTGTTCTTGAAAATATGAAGGGTCAGACACATTTGTCTAAATGTATCTATATTTATATGAATCTTTGTTATTTTCGAAAAACCTCGAAACGACAGAACACAGACAATGAAAACTTGCAGAAGAGAACGACGACTATCCTGAGGAATGTCTCTAACAAAAATTATACCATCCTGCAACGCGTGTTCTCCTGGTTGCCCACCTGCGACCAAACGTAAGTATTATCTAAATTTCTATAACGAGAATCAGAAGCCCCATTCAACGTAGTTACTACTGTATACAAAATTTTAAAATATCAGGAAAAACATTTTTTAATCTTGTTCAATGACCAAAATTTCCACGACTAACAGCATTATCATTATTTAAATAGGTTATATTTACATATTTTATATGTAGGAAAAACGTACGAAAAGTGGATACTAAGAAAATCTAGGTTTAAGTGGAAAATTATATGAAGACAAATCATAAAGATATGAACTGAACAGCATAAAATATCGGGTTTTGTAAAATGTTGGTGTATCTTCAGGTTCTGTCGAGCAGAGGGTTTGATGATTAGTTAAATATGCACTTATATACTGTGTACGACAGGATACTGTTATGATCATGTTTGTGTGTTGTGCATGACTGATCAAGTTCTCAGTAATGACACTAGATAGCATTCTGTTGTAATTTACAAGAGCTGCGAAGTACTTTAAAAGGAGTTAAAGATATGAAAGAGATATTGGAAGGGAAGGAGGGGGGACACGGGATAAAGTCGTGACCTATTCATGAAGATTCAAGGACAATGCTGACTGCTGACTGAAGATATTAGCTCTGAAACAAGACTTTCGTGGTATTTTTAACTATGACTCAACTGTCACAATGTATTTTAAACCGGTGTCTCTCAAGCTGGGATTCGTGGATCCCTGTGGGTCCGCAAGTGAACAATTCCACTCTTATTTCTTTGAAGCTATATTGCTGCAAGTTTTAAACTTTTTTCATCACATTTTTTACTCCCGCACTTGAATAAAAAGATGAATAAATTATACCTTCGAACTATTCTATATTCTCTTTAATCAAAATTTATGAGATAATTCTGACGAGAAGGTCCACGGCACCAAAGAGATTGAGGAACACTTTTGTAAACCGTAAAAACCAAAACAGGGTTCCGCCTTCCTCACATTCATATTTTGTGCAGACTCTTGCTGGCGGAGACACAGTGACAGCGAATCTGATGATGATCCTCCGCCAACAAAAAGACAGCGCACAATTCAGCCCCTGACAAAGAGGGCGGGTGGTGCACATGACGGGGGGCAGCAGTTCGAGCTTAAGATGGCGGCTGTCATTGGTCTACGTGGTATGCAGCGGGGCGACGACTTCCAACTGTCGACGAACGTCGCAGCCGCAGGCAACTTTGACGACCTCGTGTACGCAACAAGCAGTCGGCGGTACTTTCTGCAGCTGAAACACACCGATAACCCGGACACCACCAAACTAGTGCACTCAGACCTTGTACCACTTCTGCACCAGTGTTTCGAATCGTTCTACGAGATCGTTCATGGTATAACTTTCAACGACATTCCCATTCATAACTCAGAGTTCATAATTTACACAAATAAACAACTAGGGCCGAAGTTATTACAGCACAATAGAAAACGTGCAGTAATCGACATGATACTTAAAACATGCCATAAAGGAGAAACGTTCAGTTTTACTGAAGACAATAACACGGCAGTTGACGTCTACTCACGCGTACAAACGTCAGTGAAGAAAAGCAAAGAATTTAACAATTTATCTGTTTCCGAACAGAATGCTAAGATCGAGATGGTTAATAAGTTCTTGAAAAAGTTAGTGTTAATCACTGACCAAAAAGGTCAGAGAGACCTGGATAACGTGATTACTGAAGAAATAAGAAAACACGGCACAACAAAAACTAGCAGTAAAATGTACAAGACAGTTCTACATTATTTTAAAACGCATTTAGAAACTTGGTGGAGGAACAGAATCGAAAATATGACAGTGGAAATGCTCAGAAATTGGGTACAGGACGCCAAGACCAAATCCTGTTCTTCTGTCGTTAGAAGTTTGTTCAAGACATACAGGAAGAAGCTACTCAGGGTGGGAATTAGGTTTTCTGACAGTGAAATCTCACGGCTTCGCGCCGAACTATCCAAAGAACGCGCCGTTCATTTGAGGACAGACGCATGCATGCTTTGCAGTGTGCTTCTGACTGACTGTCTGCCCCAGCCAAAATGCATATTCGTGAATTTCGATTCACTGTTGAGTCACACAGACGAACTATTTCTTGCTTGGGTAGGAGGTGTTTGGGAATGGCTTGTTGTAGACTGTGATTCAAGAACTCGAGCACCTCACATTTCAAAAATGTGTCTCAAGATTGTTGGCATTATCAAAAATGTCGCATTCAACAAAAGTGTAATAATTCTGACCCACTGTTCGGTTCAGCCACTGAAAGAATTTGTTCTTATAGAGCACAAATTTAAATTTTAACAACTAGAAAAGGAATCACAAGTAATAATCCTTGACAAGAAGATAGACTTCCAAGGTTGTAAAGTGTCTTTGGGAAGTGTATTACAGAGACATGGTGATATGGAACGTGTTTTAGGAGCTGAAATAGTCACAGACTTGATAACAGAAGAAAATTCTTTCAATATAGGGGAGAGACTGCATGTAAATATGGAGTATTTTGCACCCAGAGTCCTAGAGAGAAAGGTATATTTACAGTCGAATGTCCTGTGCAACCCAGGTTCGCATCCCGACGTATTTGCTGTGAGTCAGATGAAAGAGAAAGATCTTATTGAGATTGTGCCTTCAGGGGAGATTGTTGGAACATTCTATTGGAATAAAGAATATGGGAAATCTGCATGGGAGGGAAATTACGACGGCTTTAAAAACAGCAGGTTTATTATACTGAGTAGCACAGACTTGGACACTTGTTTCATGAAGTTATGCGAGAGGTATTATGGGAGGACACTGCACTGGGTTGAGTTTAATAACGGCAAATTACTGTGGAAAGAATCACGTTGTAGCACTGAGAACCTGCTGAATTACATCGACACTAAAACAACGCGTGCAAAAAAAGAATATGTAGCAAAATATATAGAGCGTGGGAGCTGTGGGGTTAACCTGGAGTCGATCTGGGACTTGGAAGAGAGGACTGTGTTGGTTGTCGCAGAACCAGGTATGGGTAAATCAACACACATAACACACCTAGCATATCACACAAAATTAGCTGATCCTACATCATGGGTTGTGCGTATAAACTGGAATGAGCACTCCAAGAGACTGAATAAAATTCATGCAAAAACCTGCGGTTTTGAAACGGTTCTCGAATTCCTCTGCACTGTTGCATTCCCTGGCTCAAAGTACTATGATCTTAATAGAGTTATGCTTAAACAAGCGTTAGAGTTAAAGGGAAACGTAACAGTTTTGACAGACGGATATGACGAAATTAGTCCCACGCATGCAGACAAAGCTGCTAATATTCTGTCTGTACTTAGAAAGACTCAAGTGGGGAGAGTGTGGGTAACATCACGTCCAGTGGTAAGAGAAAGGCTCGAAAAAGAATTGTCTGTGTTGGCTTTTACTATGAAACCACTTTCACAAGAAGCTCAAGAAAAGATGCTTCTGAACCTTTTTAAATCCAAAGCAACTGGACACAGAGATGAAAAGCGTTTGGAGGCGTTGATAAAACAACTTCTTTCAAAAGTCAGTGAATCAATTTACGACAGCAACTTCACTGGCTTTCCACTATATATAACGATGATTGCCACTGCTTTTGAACTAAACTTAGAAACGTCTTTAAAATCCGGAGTTTTAAGTCTTCCAGAGAAAATGGATCTGTTGTACTTGTATGACAGATTTGTTAAAAGGAAACTACACATTTACCAGATAGAGAAGAAGAGGGACGATATAACAAACGCTAGTGTTCAAGACGACCACGAATTGTTGACAAAAATTTTTCTGAAGAACTTCGAGAGATCTGCTTTAACAGTGATACTACCTTCTGCTGTAATAACATCATTACACGATAAGACGATAGCAGTCAGACTCCAGCCCTTCATAAGGAGGGTCCAGGCTGGAAAGGATAAGACGGGCGTAGTGATTCAAGTGGTGGAGGGCCGGCCCTATTTCGTGCATCGAACATTCGCCGAATACTTTACAGCACACTGGTTTAGCAAGTATTTCGAGTTGAACATATGCGTTCTGGAAGCCATCCTGTTCGACCGTTCATACAGTGTCGTGAGGGATGTGTTCGACAGAATCCTAGTGAGCGGCAGTGAACTCCACTCCGCAGTGTTAAACTGGGATGCCGAAAGTGTTGAAGCTGCACTCCAGAAAGGATGTGACGTCAATGCTGTGGACAAAGGTGGCAGAACTGCTCTCCACCTTATTGCGTCACAAGGTCAGGTATATATGATTGAGCAGATAACAGAGAGTCTCTTGGGACACGGCGCTTGTTTAGACATGCCGGACAATGTACTGCAGTGGAATCCACTGCGCTACGCCGAGAAGTCAGGGTCCTGGTTTGTGGTGGAGCGGTTACTTGAACATAACGCTGACATAAGTGACTTGGTGCTAACTAGGCAGAGGGTACATGACTCCGAGTACATTGGCCCTATCATATACGAGGCTGCAGGTGAAGATTACTTGTTACTGCTCAAGTTCCTAGCCAGTATTGGTGTAAATATGGACCAGCAACTTACTGACGCGCGTTTGACTGCCCTAAATGTCGCAACAGCCAGCAGGCGATTGAGAATCATTCGGTGGCTTCTAGAACAAGGTACGGACTGCAATAGTAGAGACAACAACGGTTGGACACCCCTCTTCCACGCGGCCAATCAGGGCTGCGTTGATGTTGTCCGCATGCTGGTGGAGGAAGGGGGTGCCAGATTGGACAGATACGATACTGTGGGTAGGACAGCCCTTGATTGGGCCATCATCAGCGCCGCTGGGGGTAAGGATTCTAATTTCTTCAGAGCGCAAGGTGAGGTGAGGGACGTTAGAACGGATGTGGGGGCAGTTGTGGAATATTTACGGGAACGAGGGTGCAAAGTTTCCAACATTGCTGATGGGGTTGTGATCACCCATGACACAAATTGAAGCTTTCAGTGGTGAACCCATTGATCCAAATAATTTAAAGAAGGAAAATTAGATATTTTTATTGGCATTTTTCTCTGAATAAGTACCACGTCATGAAGATGTACAGTGGAGGCAACGCCTCACGTATTTTCTGTATCTTATGAGCTGTTACTTAACTCAGCAAGAAAAGTGACTGGACGACCAGGGTTAAATTTTCAGAGAGATCTTTCGTTGGTTGGCACGTAGGTTGTTGTTCGAAGCTGAATTCCCCCCCCCCCTCCGAATCTAGTGTCGTGGCCTAGAATGCATGAGACTTTACATCCAAGCCACCCATACAATTGGCCTACATTTGTGGTGTAACCAACGACACGCAGGTTGATTTCACATGTAAAACCACCAACATTTACATATGATTCATATACTGTTCCTTCAGTCATAAAATTGAAGGGTTAAGCAGTGAAGTACTTGAGTGGTACTTGGGAAGAGAGTAATTTTGCTGATTTATATTTTTATATTACTATTATTTTAAAGTTGCCGGGAAATGAAGCTGGTCACTCAAGAGAAGAGACTAAGAATGAGTTGAACTCCATTCTCCAAACGTTTTGATGTTGTTATTCTTAATTGAGTACCGAGGGCATCTTTACTCTACTCCGCTTCGCTTCGCTTTACACTGATTGCATGAATCTGAAAGCGATGCAGAACTTTAAAGACGCAACATTCTCGTGGACATTAGACAGACAGAAAGACATAGAGGACCTACCTCTAACGCTTTCATTTCATTCAGTGTATACGAAGAATGCATAAAATGTATTACTTTGAAGACATCCTGTAGAGGTAAGTTTTATTTGGAGACAGCCGGTAGAAGCGTCTAGCAGCTCGGGAATATGGAAAAGTTATGACCCCGAAAACTGGAACTATATTTGATTAACACTGCGCAATCAAGCGGGCCGGAAATAACGCTCGCCGGCTCATGATTAGCCTTCGAACCCCACAGGGAGCTGACCCGTACAACCTCACCGCCCCTACCGCCCCCAGCATCCCCTACACGTTCACTAATCTTCATATTCCAATCTACGCTCACAGCGTTCGCTACAAATTATATCGTTTTGTGTTTTTCCACGTTTGCTACGAATTTGTCTATTCCGACAGCAGGATGACACGTCCTGATTTCACAAGCGGTTCTTCCCACCACAGTGTGGTTCAGTTCACGTCTCTACCAAAGATATAAATGAAATCAGGGTTCCGAAGCATCACATACTACACACATTGGCCACTTCACAGTCCTTATACAAATTCTGTATGTGGGTATAGCGTGTCTCTTGTGTTCCGACATAATGACTGTCAGAAGAACATAAATTTCCCAAAAAGCTTCTATGGCAGATATTCGAGTGGCAGAAATAGCCAAGAACTCGAATTCCGACATATCTGGCAACACGTTGAGCAACTAGACAACTTCATAGCATTTTTCAACAATTAACGCTACTTCTATTTCACAAACATTATTATGCATGCATATGATTAGTATAAATTTAACGATATAGGATTTGAGACTTTCGCGGCGAGTTTAATCAATAAAATCTTCTCGGGCAATCAGCCGCGTCAGCTGGTTATCTTAGTAAACCGACTGATGTCACCAGAACACTGATAATGGGGACAGAGTTGGTTCCCGAAACGTCGGTTTACTACGGTAACCAGTTGACGCGGCTGATTGCCCGAGAAGATTTTATTAATAAACTTAACGCTTTCACTGTTACACCAGATTTTCGTGTCACTGCACAGTGTATCTCTCAAGTTACGAAGAAAGCAGACCTGGTTGCCGTTTAGACGCCTCTGCTACGGCACGTAACGAACGCATAATTACATAAGGTGATACTGAGATTGTATACTAAATGTTAAACTGTCAGGCCTAGTTTCAAGTCTTCGTCATTACAGTGTGCAGTTGTGAGGTTCTGCTGCATACTAGTTCTTGCTTCGGGGAAAAGTAGCGAATAGAAGATGTGTATACATAAAGACTTATTTTGATATGAATCTTTAAACAATTTAAAATAAATAAACTATAGTCTATTCAAAACATTCGTTACAATCCCAGAAACTTAAAAAATTACTAGTAGCAGCCGCGGGTTAATTGGCCTTTTATTTAAAAATAACAAACTGGGAACCTGTCTAGTGCCTGTACCTTTCCACATTTGCATCTAAAGAAACTAACATTCTTGCACGTGCGACATAATAACCGCGAAGAACTGCACACACTTCAGGATAACTACGGTTTAAGACAATTGTTAGTGAGACGTAGGAGACAGTGGTTTTGCTGAAGCTGTGCAGATCCCAAGTCCAAAAATTCCTTAACACCTTTACCATAAAAACGGTTATGATAATTAATAAATAATATGCACTCACAGTTACAGTCAGTATTATAATATATGTAATGCGACTAAAAATCCCTTTACAGCTTTACCGCAGCAAACGGTTATTGTTATGTATGCACAATTCTTGGGTGACGCGCGATGTGGTCTCGTTTCAAAGGTGTTTCTGCTTTCATCACCGCTCTGACGATGGAGGCAGTAAGCACGTCGGCCAGTTTCTACGACTATGTGGGCAAACATCACAGAAAATAGTCATCTTCGTATTCGCCAATTTTAGAACTTAAAATCTCACAACTCACGCATAACCGTGAACATTATCCACGTCTGAATTA